CTCTAAGATGAAAATTTTAAGATTGGTCTTTTTTATTCTTGTGAGACTTTGTTTGGGTGGACATAATGATGGTCCTTTGTGTCCTTGGACTTGAGTATGTGGGTCCAGCTGTGGGACCTTGGGCAGAACCTTCTCATGTGAGCTTCAGTGACCTTCTCTGTCAAGTGCCTGTCTCCCAGAGGCAGGAAGCTTAGATGAGGTCATGTTTCTGAATATATATATATGTGTATATATATATATATATATTTTAAAGATTTATTTACTTATGCATACAAGAGCTGGGATACAGGCCAGAATGTGTGTGTGTGTGGGTGGTGAGAGGATTCACCAGAGACAGAGTGGGGAGCAGGACAGGTGAACTGACTGAAATACACTGCTGAGGGGCGCAGTGGGTGAGACAGGAGAGGTCTGCCACACCACGTGGGTAGCTCCCTGGAGGGCCGGGGGTCGAATTTGTGCTGCAGAGGCTGCGGATTGCTTCATAGTGTGGTGCTCCCTTGCGCCACCAGGGAGGCCCATGTTTCTGAATATATTTTGAAAAGGTGGAAAGGCCTGGCCATTAAAGCCATGCAGCCAGACCATCCTGTGAGTGAAGGGCCAAGGTGAATTCTCCTATGTTGCTAGATGAGGAAATTGCCTTTTCTCAACAGGAGGGATCTTTGACCATCTCAATCTAGAGAGAATCACTAAATGCCCATTATGTGGCTGTCCTGTGTCTGGCAGTTTAACAAGTGGTTTCAAGCCCCATGGCAGGGACAGAGAGGTGTATGGGGAGAGCAGAAGGGCTGCTACAGAGCTACTGGGCCCTTGTCACCTGTCGACTCTGCTACCTTGAACAGGTGTGTGTGTGTGTGTGTGTGTGTGTGTGTGTGTGTGTGTTTCACAGTAACTTCTCTGTGTTTCCTAATACTTAAAAGGGCCATTGTGAAGACAAGTGAGAAGTTTTATAGGATTTGGGAATGCTCAGTGGATTCTACTCCCTGCTAGTCCCTCCAGACCACTTCTGCCTCTTCCTCTTCCTACTTTTCCTTTTCTTTTTCCTTTTGATTGGCCTGTTACTGTCATTGTACAGATGAGAGTGTCATTTGAGCTCTTCATCTCAAGTAGAAAAATTCTCTGTAACAACATGTGGGGAGGGGCATTCCTGCTTCTGTTTAAATATGCCTAGGAGTGGAGAACTTACCATTTGCCCATTTTAAAATAGCTTCACGTGAATCTTAGAATGCACTGAGGTGAATGGTAAAGTATTTGCATTCACATGATGAGCTGTTCCTCTTGAGATATGATCAGCCCCTGCCCCACAGTATAAGCTTGGGATGATTTTTCATGACCAATGGGGTCCTAACCCGTAGAGATGGGCTGGTAGTGAGCTTTTTCTCTTGACTAGATGTCCCCTTTTATACAGGTGAAGGTCTGTGGCATTTTAGGGACTGGTTAGCATTTGGGATGGAGATGGGAGATTAGCCCAGGGATTTGTGGAGCCAAAGGAGGGAGGTGACCATCAGGAGAACTCTGAAAGCTGAGTGTTATTCTTAGTAAATAAACACGAGCCACACTCCCCTTTAAATTAAAGATACAACAGGAATGACCACTTTACTTCTCTCACTCAACGTTGAACTGTAAGTCCAATCCAGTGCTAGAAGACAAGACAAAGGCAAGAGAGACACAAGCAGTGAACAGTCATTATTTGCTGGTGACCTATCATCTGGCTAGAGGAAACCCTAGACTCTGAATCTATAAATTATTAGGAGCAATGGAGTGTTCAGCCAGATGGCCAAATATCAAGTACAAAAATACATGGCTTTGCAATAGGCCAACAGCAACTAATTGGAAAACAAGGTCGGGGGGAAACCAAAACTCCAAGTAGTGCAGGGTTTTGACATTTTTCCATGTGGCATCCAGGCAGTGGTTGTCTCCTAACTTCTATTTGTGTAGCAGATAAAGCACCATCACACACATCCAGCCCATTGGGGCATATGGAAATCTTTATTTTAATGTTTACCTGGGAAGACTCAGAGAAGTTAAAGTGACCTTGCCCAGGGTCACTCTGTGACTAGAAGGCAGAGCTGGGACTTGGCTTCCCAGGTCAGTGCTCCTTCCTCTTTGCTGCTTTCCATCTTCCTCCTTCAGATTTGACCGTCTCCAGCAGTTGTCTTGGCCTTGACAGCTTTGCAGGGCCTTCTCCAATAGCAGCAGGACTCAGTGGGAGTCCATAACCATTTATATTTTGGTAAGAATGTGCTCTCTGATTTCTTTCTTTTTTTTTTTTATAGAGGCATGTTTTATTTATTTATTTATTTGTTTGTTTTGTTTATACATGCACTGGGTACAGTCAGAAGCGCGGGAGGGTGAGAGAATTCACCAGAGCCAGAGCGGGGAGCAGAGCAGGCAGAAGGACCGAAGTACACTGCTGAGGGGAGCAGCGGGCGGCAGGAGAGGTATGCGTGCCATGTGGGACCCTCCTCTGGTGGCCGGGGAGCAGCTGGGGATCGAACCGGCGCTGCAGAGGCCGCGGGCAGGTTTGCAACCCAGCACTCTACTGCTGCGCCACCGGGGAGGCCCTGTGCTCTCTGATTTCTTTTATGAGCCACAACATGTCCTGCCTAGGACATGTACTTATGCCTGGGATGCTAGGGGAGGGGCTGGCCTCCTGAGGGTACCCAGCTGAGAAGGAGGGCTGGGGGAGGAAAGAGTCAAGTGGTCTTTGGTCAAGGTCATGGTCCCTCTTGGGTTCCCTTCCTGTTCATTGGGTTTGCTGGCCCTCTACTCTGCCTCCTTTTAGCATGGAATACTAATATGGAGGAAAAGTAGTCTTTCTTTCTTTGTCAACAGCTTTTTGCTGTCACACGCTTCTCTGAGCAGTGGTAAGAGCCTACTGTAGACTCTTCTCTAGGCACATGTCAAAAAGTGCAGAGGTGTTCCATTCATTCAGTAGGGGTCTCGCACTAAGATTTTCAGGAACTGCACTAGATACCGGGGAGTTGGCAGTGAACAAAAGACAAAAATATCTTCCTTGATGGAGACTTTAGGCCATAGGGTTAGAATGTCTCACAGTGAGTGGCTAAAATGCGGGCCAATGATAGGTGCTAAGGAGAAACATTGAACAGGAAGAAGCACCCCTTCCCATTTTTTTTTTTTGTAAATTTTAATGAGGAGGTTAGGGAAGAATTTACTGAGAAGGTGATTTTTATAGAGACCTAAAGTATATGTGGAAGAAAGCCATGTTGGTTCCTGGTGAGAAGCTTTGAGTCTGAGGGTAAGTGCAAAAGCCCTGTGGTAGAGTTATAGTTGTCAACTGGAGCAGAATGTATGACAGGAAAGAGGTAGGAAATGAAGTCACAGGAGAAGGGGGAAGGATTGGGGAGAGTAGATCGAGTAGGGAGGGCTGTGGGTGTTGTGGAGTGTTTAGTTGTGTAATGAAAGGGGATTTTTCTCTTATTTTTTCTCCCCCCCAACTTGCTTTTCCTATTTAATAGTACCTCTTGGACACCCATTCATGGCCACATGTAGTTAGAATGATTGCAAAAAAATACACGAGTACCACAATTGATTGAATCATTCTCTTTTCCTCCCAATATAAAAAAAATTAAAAAAATTCTTGAAGTAACAGGCTTATACAGGGTTCAGGCATACACCATTAAAAAATCAGTGTCTGTTTATACTGCATTACTTTGATTTGTTATTGTATTTTTTTATATTGTTTACAACGTTACATATGTGAATCATTCTCTTTTGATGGACTTTCAGGTTATTTCGTCCCCACTGTAGCAGTGTTGTAATAAATATCTTTGTATATGTTGCCTTCCATTCTGGCATATATATAGTCCATATATTCTATATGTTGGCGTGTGGATGGTGTTTCTAGGTCAAGGGGAGTATGTATCTTTACTTTTAATAGATATCTTAGGTTTCTCTCCAGAAAGGTTGTAGCTGCTTTTTATCATAGAAGTGTCACTAAGTCTCAGCTGGCTTTGTCCCTACTTGCTAAATCCTTACTTTGCAAAGGAGAAATCACTCCTACAAGAATGGACGGCTCTGGAATCCTTCACCTGGTGGGACAGTGTGTAGCCTTTTGGAGTGTGCTGCCGGAAACGATATCATTTGCTCTTTTTTTGGAGCTTGTCTTTGATGCTTGTGATATCAGGAGAGCCAGGAAGATGAAAACACAGCTGTTGCTGTGTTGTTCGCATTGTGGCTAATTTTCCACATGCTTAAAATAAGCACAACAGTGAGGAGCTACATGGACACAGATTCACACCTTGTCAAATATTGAAGCATGTTCCTGTGGCTCCTTAAGGACAAGGCTCCTTCTCTGTTCCTTCTTGTGAGCACGTGAATGCCAGGGGAATGACAGTGGGCATGCACTCACGTGGCCCCCTCCCCTATAACATTCCAGCGCCGGATCTCGCAAGCCCAGAGGAAGGCATCTCATCTGTTTAATAGCCATATGCATTTGTATGATTTGCACTGCTGGACATTTAGGCTGCTTCCCATCTGTTGCAATTCAAACAATGAAATGCCGTGCCGTGCCTGAGTCCTCTTGCACATTATGGAGTTATCATTGGGGTAGATTTCTAGAGGTTGAAATGCTGAATAGAAAAGGATTTGATTTTTACCTGTTGATAGATATTACCAAATTGACCTCCCTCTGAACAGGGACCAGTGTCTCCGATACCCAGGGGTAATGCAAGGGAGGACCTTTTCCCCAAATCCTCTGTAATGTAGGGTCTTTTTTTTTTTTTAAGATTTATTTATTTATTTATACAAGCACTGGGTAGAGTCAGAAGTACGGGCGGGTGAGAGAATTTCCAGAGCCAGAGCAGGGAACAGAACAGGCAGACTGACAAAATACACTGTTGAGGGGAGCAGCGGGTGAGACAGGAGAGGTCTGCGCGCCATGTGGGACCCTCGCCAGCTGCCGGGGATCGAACTGGCGCTGCCGAGGCTGAGGGCAGCTTCGCAGCCCAGCGCTCAACTGCCTGCGCCATCAGGGGACGCCCCAATGTAGGGTCTTATCATGCTTTTTGATTTTTGCCAATCTGATGCGTGAGATTGTTGTATATCATTCCGGCCTCATTTCGTATTTATTTCTCATGAGTAAGGTCGAACACCTGTTCCAAATGCTTGAAAACTGTTTCTGTTTTATGTTGGTGACCTGTATTTCAAATCATTTGCCCTTTTCTGTTTCCCTTGTGGATTATTAGTCCCTTATCTGGCCCCTTCCAGCATGGCCTGTCTGCGTTATATGGACACTTGACACTGGGATCAGATAACCGAACCTGCCTGGCTAGCTTGAGATTGAGCCACACGCTCCTTATTGTCAGAGTGAAAACCTAGGTGCAAGAGGAAAGGAGGTGAGTCTTGACAACAAACTACAGATCACCGTTGCTCTTTGGCAAGTGCATTGTAGGGAATGTTCCTCAGATAGGTTAATGCAGATAGAATTGAGACCTGTTGGACCCTGGAGTCCATTAGCTCAGGGATATCTTTTGTATGGTCTCATTTTTATCCCTTACTGATTTGAGGACATACGAGGAAATTTGGCTGTTTGCTACAGCCAAGTGGATTTGAAGCCCCTCTATGGGAGTTTTCTAAGCAATGACCCTACTGGGTCATCTGCTAGTCCAGGCCTCCCAACTTCAGCAATTTAACACAACCAATGGGCATCTTCACCTCCGTGACTAATGTGGGTGCTCCTGATGGGCAGACCCTCAAGTTTCCTGTCAGGGATGCAGGCTTCTTTTGTCTGTGTCTCTCCCTTATTCAGTCCCCAGAGCCCTCCACTGGGTTCTGGGTCCTCAGCCAGCAGAGGGGAAACGAGACAAGAGGATTATTTATGGTAGGGTTTCATGGGTCAGATGCTTCACTGGCCAGAACTCAGTCTGAGGCTAGGTGTTGGGGACCAGAGCGTGTCCCGGGTGGTCTGTCCTGACCCCAGTGCTTGAAGTGCTTGTTCTTTTAGTGTGGGACTTGTAAGTTCTCAAAGAACTTACTGCTTTTCTAAAGTGTGCTCTCTTTGCATCCATTGAGAGCTCTGTGAAGGACATAAGGTAAATGTTTTTAACTCCTATTTGGAGTCAAGGAGGCGGCAGCCCAGGGAGGTGAGGTCCCACACAGGTGAGGCACTTAGATGTGGTCACAGGTGCAGGCAGAGCAGGTGCAGGAACGAAGCTCTCACCTGGCTGTCCTTTCCAAATGACTCAAGAGCAGTCACCCACTCTGGGCAAGCCCGGCAAGCCCACCCCTGCCCACTGTCTGGCACGGAGACTGTAGGGGCTGGCCACAGTGTGTCCTCTACCCTTGTGTGTGATGACCAGGAAGGTGTCTCTTGCCTTTTGTAAATAGCAGCCAAGTGACAAAGGGTGACAGTACTGCTACTAGTAGGAACACCTCGTAGACTTGGCAAAGTCTCCTTCGTAGGACAGAATCACCGTAAAACTAGCCCCTTTAGTGGTACTGTCCCTCACCTTGACTTTGACCATCACCTTTTCCATATAATTTGCATGGTACACTGCCATTGAAATTGAGGCTCTCTGCTTCACACTTCCACTCCTTTTATTTAATTATTTTAAAACATCTGATGCTGCAGTGAGATCAACATGCGAGCTGTGAAATCTCATCTGTTCTATTTTGAGCAGCAGGGAAACAAATGTGGGATACTGTTGACTCCCCTCTGGGTAAGGAATGTGCCTCCAAGAGCCCATTGAATGGACGGAACCAAGACCGCTCTGGGCACACTTTGGATGCCTCCTCTTTCAGGGTGGACACCTGGGTTTCTTGCAGTGCAGATTCGTTGAACTAACCTACAGAGATAGAATATTAGGTGGTTGTGTGGATTGTCATGGTAGCAAAGAAGCACCAGGCACCAGAATGAAGACGAGGCATCAAAAGTCACTCCTAACTGAATGGTTGCTGAATGTGGTTTTCTTATCTGTGCAAAAGATAACAATTCTTAGAAGGCTCACACAAAATAATGTGTATAAAGAAGTGCTTTGTAAATGAAAAGCCCTCTGCAATGTACTTAATGTATTAATAGTAACAATTGTCATTTGCATCCTGGTGATTCACTCGAAATAGGAGACCATTGCTGCTACCATCACTACCCCACATTGTACATCAAAGCTGCAATTATCATGTGTAATTTCACTTGATACTAAATGATCATGGAATGTTAGGACTGGAAAGAGTCTTGGGGCTTAATTAATCCAACCATGTTACTTTGTAGAGGTGAAACTGAGACCTGGAGGGGGGAGATTTGTCTGAGATTTCTAGACCCAGGGTGTCAGTTCTGCAAAGTGGGCTGTCTGTTTTTTGGGTTATGCTGTCCTGTCCTTCTGAAGAGTCTAAACACTGAGAGCTTTGGGTGGGACATTTATCCCTAGTCATTAGGTGGAGTTGTAACTCTGACTCACATCTGCTTGCTCACACTGACCCCCACTCTGGCCTTCACTGCTCAAAACTCTGGGAAAACTTGGACAGGTCTTGGGGTGATGCTCAGAGCAATGGGTACAGGGTCCAATAGAGAAGTTAATGGGAGATGAAGTGGTTTGCTGGCAAGAAAAGGAGATCAGGGCAGTTGCAAAGCAGGGCGCAGACTGCCCATGCCCTGGTCATTGTCGGATCCTACCCCCTGTGCATTCTCTGACTGTCCTCTCAGGGGGTGCCAGACTCCAGAGACCACCCACCCACCTCAGCGAGAAGACTGAGGGTGCCTGGCAATGCTTTACAGAGGGCAGTCTTAATCTAGATGGAAGCCAGGGTTGAAGTCCTGGCAAGACTGAGTTTAGCGTCATATTTATTGCAAACCCTCTGACGGGCCCTTTTACACCTCGAGGCCTTGCTCACATGTCACCTGCTACATGGGGCCTATGGGAATTCCTTATTTGAACTTGAGTCTTGAATACCCCATGCCCCCCAACACACACACACACACACACACACATACACGTGCGCACACACACACACACACGTACATTGACCTATGTTTCTGGATAGGATTCCAGAAATTATTATAGAGGTTTCTTCCTTACTTTTGGCCCAGCTTCCCCTACCATTCATGTCTTCTCTAACCATAGAGTGGGGCTGGAACCCCAGAAGTGAATGGTGGGATAACACTGTTCATGAAACCATGACCTTTCAATGTTACACGTGGCTCCTAATATTCTCTTTCTTTTCCAGGATCCAGCTCAGATCCACACTGCATTAGCCCATCATGGGTCTCCTTCATCTGTGACAAGACTTTGTCTTTCATGACTGACATTCGCGAGGAGCACTGTTTAGTTGTTTTTGTAGAATATCCTCAAATTTGTGTTTGTCTGTTGTTTTCTTATAGCTTATACAGACTGATTTTATTTAGTGCTTACTGAGTGTTTCCTGGAACTGCATCACTGGCTCCCTCAGAGCAAGCATACTCATCTGTCTGGTTTACTCCAACCCCTTCTAGGAGACTGCCTGGCACACAAGCTCAGTCAGTTTTTGCCAAGTGTACAGATGCATGAGAGATCCTGACCTGACCTGACCTGAAGTGAGAGACGCACAGAGCAGCAGGGCACTGCTGTTGCCTGGGTGGGGTCCGGTTGGGTGTGCCCTGAAGCCCCTCCCCACACTCAGACTCTGTATAACCCATTGGAATGTGATGCATCAGCTCCAGTTCATGAAATTCCACAGGTATTAGCTTTCCATGGAAAGCCCAGGGTGCTGGACTAGGTGGGGGTTTTGCTGGGCACCTGGGATGCAAGCACTGAAAATGAATTTACATTCCCTGTGGATCAAGGGCCCAGGGAAAGGCCCAGGGAGAGCCAGTGGCTGTGCTGTGAGAGTGTTCTAGAATTTGGAGCCTAGATCGGCAGCTCCCAAACTCCAGCCTGCTTCAGAGTCACCTAGTAGACTTTGTTTAAACACAGATTGTTGGGTCTCATAGCAGTTTCCATTCACCTGGTCTGGGATGGGACCCAAGAGCTGGCATTTTGAGCTGCTTTCCAGTTGGTACTGATGCTGCTAATCTTGTGACCCCACTTTGAGAACCACTGCTCTATACGTTCAGTGGAGAAACAGGTTGCTGGTAATTTGCAAGAGCCAGGAAGGCTTCATGGAGGAGGAGGCTAGGTTTGAATGGGTAGGATTTACACAACTGGGGGTGGGTCTTGAATCATGCATAGCTGTCTTTCTGGTGTTACATGCAGTCTCTGCTTTTGTCATCTTGACCTATGATCTCACTGCGGCCATGTCCAGCCACCATGGTACCATGAGCAGTCTTGGCTGAGAGAATCTGAGCCCCTTAAAGAGGAGGCTGACTAACTCTTTGATGGGAGTTGACCTTGGCTGGCTAGGTCGAAGTCACTCTGAGGCCTGGACGAGTCTTGCATTGTACAGGCTGTCTAAACGTGTTTATTTGCCTGGGCCTCGCTTGCCGAATGCTGGCATTGTTTGAGGTGTCGCTGTTGGGCTTCGTGGCTCTATTTCTGTTTTCCCGTCTGGCACCAGCTCAGTGGGGGCAGATGAGGTGTGTGGCCACCCTTGCTTTCTTCCTGGCTCCATGTTCTTCTTGAGGCCAGTACTTGGGTAAAGAAGCACATTTGAGTTTCATAGAGTTATCTGCCATGGAAGCAGATGGGGCTCTTTCCGGAGAGTGAAATTTTGTGGAGGAAGAAAATGTTTAGGAAGGTAAAGAATGAAATGTTTGGACTTAGCATGACTACTGGTGGTAGAAATGTTTACGTGTGTGTATGTATGTCTGTGTGTGTTTAAGCTTCCAAAATCATTTAGGAATTTTTACTCCTTTAAGTGATACTAAAAAATCAGATACGAGGGGAAGCACCAGGAAGCTTAGGAGAAGCCGCGTTGTTTGCACAGTTGGAAGACTCTGGGCAGGAAGGCAGCATGGTGTCCAAACCCTAGTTTTGGAACAAGAGGAATACTGGTGTGCCTCTGGTTCTGCCCTGACATTTTAACTGAGACCTAGAAAAACTAAGTGACTTGCTCGCTCACATGTCACCTCAACTATTCCTGGCCAAGCCACATTGCTCTTTCTTTCCTTTGTGCTTCAAAATTGTTTGTTTATAATGTACCTTTCTGATTTTATTAAGAATGGGTTTGTTTTAACCATTAGATCAGGGATCAGCAAATTATAACTGCAGGTCTAGTCTGGCCCTCTGACTGGTTTTGTAAATAAAGTTTTATTGGAACACAGCCATACCCATTTGTTGATGTATTGTCCAAGGCTGTCTTTGCAGGTTGAGTTGGTGCTGTAAAGAGAGAGTGGCCTGCACAGCTTAAGATTTTGACTGTCTGGACCTTTTTGTCAACTCTTGCACTAGATGGAGAGCTTCTTGAGGGCCAAAATGAGTTTCTTTTTCTTATCTTCTGTTTCTTGCTCATAACAGATGCTCAGTAAATATATTAGTTGGAAATGCAGTGGTTTGATGTGTTTTGTCTGTCAGATTGAGTGTGCAGGGCTGCAGCCTGTTCTCCAGGTTTTTATTCATGGTTGGACCACTCTGTGCCCCAGTTTTGTCTCTTTAGAAAGCAGATAATATTGTTTGCCTTGCTCAGTTCATCGATCTGTGGTGAGGATAGAACAGGATATTAAAATATCTCACTAGAACTGTGGTTTCAGCTTTGGGTCTTCCTGACGAATTTCACCCAGCTTATCGCTGGGTTAGACACTCTCTTGCTTCCTTGCCATCAGCTTTTCAGTGGCTGCCTTTTGCCTCTAGGCTAAAGTACCCACCATCTGTCATACATTACCTTTCTTACCTCAACCTGGGCCTGTCTTGATCTTTCATTCCTCCATTGCAATCCAGAATCTTCTGCATTATTCCCTTACTTATCTATTGCACCTTTGCCTAGGACTCCACCCCACCATCCCTCTTTCTGCTTCTCTGGTGTCTGTCCCTTGCATGCTCCTCTTATGTCTGACCTTGCTGGAGTTCTTTGACATTGGCCAACATGAGTGACTATCTCATGTTTTTTTCTTGTAATTTTTAAATCCTTACGGGTGCTTGTTAAAAATGAGACTTCAGATTTATGGGAATGGAGTCCCCATTGGTGAGATCCAGGCCTCTTTGTTTTGTTTTTTAACAAGCTCCTAGTATGGTTGTGATCGAAGTTGGAGGAACACTAAGTTAATGTAGAGTGCTTTGTAGTGGTATTCATCTTTTTTATGGGACTCTTCAAATAAACGAGACACATCTTGAGGGCAGATCCGGGTCTCTCCCTCTCCTCCCCACCACCACCCCAGAGTAGCACATATATGTGGAGATAGGGTTGTGAGATGATTTGTCAGTGAGATTATCTCTTGCATCAGCCTGACATCTGGAGGTGCTCAATAAATATTTGCTTGTTGATTGATACAAGATGATAAAAGGGCTCTGGAAAGCAAGGCAGCCCTGCCAAGTAGGGAATTATTGTCAGGAGCAGGAACACCTTGTGCTTTTTATGGGTTCTGCTAAAGTCCTTAAGCTCTGGACTCTAGGCAGCCCAGATAGAGAAAGTCGCCCACCCCTGAGAAACAGTCACCAGACGGAATCCCGTGTGCTTCTCTAGCCCTGTTCTCTCTCCATCTCCCCAGTCTTCTGCCAAAAGGATCCTCCCTCTGCTTGGGCTTATCACAATAATGCAAAGCCATAGAAGTGCATGTTGATGGGTGAAGTTTGTTTGAACACTTAAGATTGTAGAAGAGGGTTTAGCTTGTGTAATGAGTTTTGCTTTCCCATTAAAAATACTCGAAGAGAAGTGCAAATGTTTCATCTCTGCCCAGTGGGTTATGCTGCCTGTTTATACAAGCCTGTACCCTGCAGCCTCAGAAAAGACTTCTTGATTTCTTCAGGGCATGACTGTACAACCTTGGTGTTGAGTCTCCAAGCAGACACAGTAATGAGGCCTCATGTCTCCTTTCCAGTTACGCAACAGCAAAGTTATATTTCAGAAAAAATAATTTCAAATGGTGTTCTGTTTAGAACATGAAGATGCTGTCATTTTATTGCGCAGAGACCACCCATCAAGGTTGTAAACCTGGGTCCCAGTCAGGGCTCTCTCTGGAATAGAAAATTCTCTGTCTGTAATGGAAAGAGATAAAACAATAAAAGCAGGTAAAATGAAATAAATTCAGAGCTGAGAGTCACTAGTGAAGGCCAGTTTAGGAGAAGACTCTGTACTTAGAAATTTACAGTCATCTAAGCATGTGTGTGAACAGAGGCTTTGGCAAATATGAATTCTGCTGGCTTCATATAAAACCTTTCTTCCATTGTTTCACTGTCAGTGTGTTTTATGTAGGGAAAAAAAATGTAGGTCTTAGAATTTATTCTCTTCTTCCTTCATGATTTTCTTCCATTAATATTAGACTTAATTATTCCAATTTATTATACTGGAGACTTACTGCTTCATTTAAAAAGTTGAATGGATTATTAGCTTCTTAATAAACAATAGCATTTACTATCTACTGATGAGGACTCAAATCAGTTAATTTATTACTGCATGTCTGTTTTATTGACGAAATGGAACAAAAACTATTACCTACCAGAAACTGAACTTGTTGACGATGTTCCTAGGAATGTGGACATTGAAGGTGGCCTGTGTGAGGTCCTGGCTGTGAAGTCATATGGAGCAGAAGATGTGAGGCTTTTTATTTGGTGACTCAGGAAGCCTGTAAGCCTCTTTAGAAGACTTGGCATCTAAGCTCATCCTTCGAGAATATGCATGTTGTCAACAGATGAAAGAGGTGAAGGAAACATTAAAAAGGTGATAATGTGCGGGCGTGTTCAAAGCAGGTGAATGGATATTTTTTTGAGACACTACTAGTTATGTGGAACTCCAGTCTAGTGAAAGAAATCAACTAATGGCTTGGTACACAGTCAAGTAATATTTCTTTGCTTATCTTCACTAATGCAGTCATTTTTGAGCACACGCATGTTTACTTCAGCTGCGTTGGTTCACTTCATCGTGACGACAACCTGATGAAGTAGGACTGCAGTTGTGGTCAGACTGTAGAAGAGGAAGTAGAGACATTTACTGTTAAGTGTCTTGCTTTGAGTTCACACACTGTGTGTCACAGAGCAGAGACTCCCAGCTGCCAGTCTGATGCTGGAGCTTGTGATCCTGATGAAGGTGTCGTGTGCTGCCAGGATTCATTTTCTCTGCTCACTTCCCCCAGCAGAGTGTGAGCTTGAGAGCAGGGGTGTGCATCACCCCTTTCAGTCCTTCATCATCCAGAAAACCATCTCTGTGGGATCTCAGCTCAGTTTGTGTGTGTTGAACACAAAAGATTTACTGTGGAGATTTCAAGTTTGAAGGGGGAACTCAGAAGGTCAAGGAGGGCATTTCAGAGTGTGAGAACGCCAGCAGAGAGCTGGGTGGGTGAGAGGAGTGTGCCAGCAATGAAGGACCCTGATAATCCCTTGGGCAGGAGGGGGTGGTGCATATAGGGAGCTGGAGATGGCCCTGGGGAAGGGAGGTAGAAGCCATCTTGTGGGGGCCATAGTCCCCGATAGTGCTGGCCTCTGTGACCTCTCAGGGTTGAAGGACTGGGTCAAACTTCTGACTTGTGAGGTGATATTAGATGACTAGGCCTTCTCCCAATTTCCCTTGTGGGAATGTCTGTCAGAGATAGTGTGTGGGACTGAATGACCAGGGAGCACTATGTTGGTTAAAAGCATTTATTGATCAACTTAAATGTACTGCATTCTGTGACTAGAGAGACAATAAGGATTTCTCACAGGCAAATGCTCTTATCTGTGGGTTCACCTGTTGGTTCTCATCACTGGGGGAAAACTAGGTGGGTGCTGAGGATCAAGGCCCCACCCAGGACATTCAGGGCTGGGTGTAGGGATATAAAAGAACCTGCACTTGTTCTGACCGTGTTTCTCTGACTGAGTGACTGGCTGGCAGGGCACCCAAATCCTGCTCTCTGCATGTTTGTAACTGAGTTAAGCAATTGAAAAAAACAACAAATGGTCACCAAATCAGGCCCTGGTAAAGCATGACATAGGAAGGAGGAACACAAGCTATTAGCTTATTCCACAAATCCAGCTTCTCCAATCTCTGTGTCACTTATGAATGAGATGTTAATTACTTTTCAGAAATGGGACAATTCCTCTTAAATGGCAGAAGGATGACACCTCCTTAGCGTCTCCTATCTGTCCTTGGTCAGGACTTCAGGTTGGAGACCATGACCTTTAGGAAGTGGGGTTGCACATGCTGGCCTTTCCTGTTAAGCCCCTGGGAGGCTAGACTTGGGTGGTGGGTGACAGACTGGGCCATCTCTGGAATATTCTCAAGGCTACATGGAGCCAATGCCTGGTGCCCTCCCCATTTCTCCTACCACAAAGACGAGGACATTCCTCCAAGACCCAAGATTAACCTTGATCTTGCTCTACTGGTGTAGAGTTCATTCCTTGATCAGAGAAGAATGGGCCAGTTTCCCTTAAGGATGGACTTTTATTATGAAGCTTATTATGAAGTTTGTATTCCTTCAGAGCTTAGACAATTATAGCAGCATGGACTCCAAAACCAAACATTTTATAATCATTTCTTCTTGGTATTAGACTCTCTTGGTGTTAGACTCGTGCTGATAGATACCACCTTCTGAACTGGTGTTCCTTTGTGGGAAAGAGTATCTGCTCTCAAGTCTATTTACCAGGATGTAGATTCCAGTGGCCATTTGTGTTCCCAGTTATCTTTCTGTGAAACTGAACCAGTGATGCATTGATTTGATTTTGGGTAATCTTCAGCTCCTCAGCATGCAGTCAGCTGCGGGCAGTCAGGATGGGGCTGACTGGGAAGAAACCCAGTCCAGAAGTCCAAAGGGACAAGGTCAAGGAGGAGCAGACAGTACCATGGGGTCCAGACTCTGAGTAGTCAGAACTCGGGAAAAACAGCCAAGCTCATTCGCCAATGAGTCCTGGAACCATGAGTGATATTTGTAGCCGAAAGAAGATTGGAGGCCCATAGTATTGCTGACTGAAGTAGGAGGGAATGGAGATGCTAGAATTATCTCACTCCCCAGGGTCAGCTCTGCAACGTGGCATATCAGGCTGGTGGCCAGTCATGGGTGTGGAAAAGTCTCTGGAGCCCCTCTAGCTGACTGTTTGCCCTGTATTTTTAGCTATGCCCGTAGCTGAGCAGTCATATAGCTATTAAATAGTCAGCTGAAAGTCTCTTCTGGAAGCTAATATGGAGCTAAATACTAGGGTGTCTGCCCAGACCTCAACTACCCAGTTCAAGAATGCCCCTGAGGGACATGGCTCTGTTGGCTGCTTTTGTGTGTTCCTGGCAGGGGCAGTCACTTCCTTGAGGTTGGTCAAGACTGGGCAATACTGCCTGTGTATTTTAGGCATTCAGAGGCCAAGAGGTTTAGGGTATAGCAAGGCAGAGGCTGCTTCCTGGTAAGTAAGCATTCAAGCTTAAATTCCAGTTTGATGATGATGAAATTAATACTAATTGTTAGCAGTCGTTAAGCTCTCATTCCATATATCCTAACTCATTGATACCTCGTAACAACTGTATGTGATAGGCATTGTTATTTCTGTTTTCTAAGGAGGACACTGAGGTACAAGGAGGTTAAGTGACTACGAGGGGCGCTCAGCTAGTGTCATGGCCAGGATTCAACTCCAGGCCCATGAACTCCAGATCATATGTGCTGGGCTCCATGTCAGTTATGGTGTCAGTGACCTTGGGGACAGACTCCTCTTTTGTCCTGGGAGGACTAGGTGGGCATGAGTTTGATCTTGCTGGAGAAATTGCCAATGTTCTCAATCCTTGGAAAATATGAGAAGTGGAACCACAGAGCTATATCCTGGGGCATGTCTCTTGCTTTGCTGGTTTTTTAAAAATAGGTTTCACTTTCTTTTTTATGGTAGACCTTCTTGCACAGAGATGGGAGACTGACGAGGGCTTACAGAATCAGCCTGTCCTGATTCTCACCCCTTCCCTACCCCCGCCACCATAAAACCCAGAAGCTCTTTGAAGTTCTCCCTTCACCTGTCATGGGTCATGTGCATCTGTAGTGAGAGCCAGAGAGGACTGGACTTGGCAGATAAGCCCTTCTGAGACCTACCTCCTTGTTGACCCCGTGCCCTGTTTTGCAGCCTCCAGCCCAGGCTGCTTTGCAGAAAATGGGGAGGGGTGCCTGTTTGCCAAGGAGGGAGCGATTGATTGGAAGAGGAGACTTGGGTCCAGGGACTGACTAACCCAGTCACTGAGTCTTTGTCCTGCCTGAGTTAAAAGTCCAAACTTGTGTGTCGAACAGAGCCTGGTGTCTGTCTAGGCTTTGCGTTTTAGGAGCCTGGAATCAAGTAGGCACTTCACAAATGTAATTTCTAACTGTGTTGTGGTTGGGCACGCAGGTGCTGGAATCTGGTGGTCTGAGTGTACTGGGGAGTCATGTGAACTAAGCGACTTTAAGCAGAACTGGTCACATAACTTGCAGGGGTCAATGTCAAGTGAAACGTGAGGCCCCTTGTTCAAAAATTATTAAGAATTTTAAAGTGGTGCCAACAGAACATTAAACCAAACATGGGGCTGAATATTTGCAGCTGTTCAGATTCTACACTAAGCCTCAGTTTCCTCATCTGCAAAAATGAGATAGTAATAGTCTTTTATCTCTTTAGCTTGTTGTGAAGTTTAGAAAAGAAAATGATGCACAGAAAGCACTGGACCATATGGGAAGGGCTTGATAAATGTTAACTTTGATAAATGCATTGTCAGAATCTTACAGCCTCTTTTTAGACCATTGACAGAGGACTGTGAGAGTAAAGGGAGCTCAGTAATGACCCAGCTTAAGGAGCTGGTCTGGCCTTTGTTCTCCGCCCTCGCCTGTTTGTGGCTTGGGATTTTCACCTCCTTTGCAAGGCACAGATGCATCCTTTGAGGTAGCAGAAGGCCTCTCACATGTCATGCACTGTGCCCTACATCTCCAGGTGGTGGACTGAGGATAGCCAGCAGCCCTGGATGCTAATGGGACTGTGTTCATTATTTATTTGTTGAAACAGGTTAGAGTCCTTTTCTAACATCATGACATTTCATTCCTAAAGATTTTACTGTGCCTTTTTGCAAAATAAGGGCATTTTCTTTTACATGCACATAATGTTATTATAGACATTTAGGGTTTTTTTTTTTTAAATAAATACTTAATGGAAAGTTTAGGTAGTTGTACGTGGGGAGGTGAAGTGACTGGTATTGATTTGCTTTGCTAAGATGAAGGACTCTTATCCAAATTCAACTCTGTCTGCTTGTAGCTCATCATTTTGGTAAAAAAGATTCCTGGACACCTGCCTCACCACCCCAGTGGGTTAGAATGAAAGTGACATTTTGGGGAGGCCTAAGGAGGTTCAATTTTCTTTGCAGGTATTACTTCAGTCTTTCACCTAAACTGTCCCAGGCACTTCCTGAAGGGTTTCCTGACCTCTGAAATAACACCCCCACTAATCCACTCCCCTCCAGCATCACCTGGACTGCACGTCCCTTAATGAAAACCTTTCTAAACCTTCCCATTGCCCACAGCAGGGTCGCAGGGCACTTCTCTTTCTCTTTGTGACTTGTGAGCTGAGGATGCTTTGTCCATCATTCGGTGGTTGATGAAACAAAATAACTATATTTTTTGACATGAAAATAATGAGAAAGTCAGATTTCAGTGTCCATAAATAAATTTTTATTGATGCACAGCCATGTACATTCATTGAAGGGTCTTCTGTAGCTGCTTTCATATTCCAGGGGCAGAATTGAGTGGCTGCAGATAGTTATGG